ATGCTATCTTTATTCTCCTAAGCATAATATTTCAGAAATAATTTGATGAAAGTACCAGACTAGGGGGTCAAGTGGTGTTGCAATGGTAGTATAGCTGGACCCATGTTGGGGATGTTCTGGATTCACATCCTATCAACCTCCCTGACCACTGCCAGGTACCTACGATCCAGACTAGTGGAGATTGGAGTGGATTCTGGAGTGAGGACGCTACTGTGGCTGCCTCTCTGTATCTCATAGAAGATATCATTCTTTTTAAAGTACAATTATAAAATCCAAGATAGCCTTTCTGCAGTTCATAAAACAGGAGCTCAAAGAACTTATTTTCATTTTCAGCAATCTCTAAGTGACTTAAGGATCAGATGTAAAGTAGTCCCCAGGACCAGCAGATAGCATATGGTTGCATCGCTGAACTTCCACATGGCTGACCGCAGTTCTAGTTCCAGACCTGGTGGCTTGAAACTCACACCCAGTGAGTGTGTGTGCATGCCCAAAATCCCAAGAAGGGAATGGAGAATGGACTGCGGCATGGCCATCCCCTTTGGGGGGATAATCTCTTGCTTTTTGTCTCTTTGTCTCTCCAAGATTTCATTCCTTTGGAGAGTCCTAAATGAGAGAAAGTGGGATATATGCAAAATAAATGTGATATATGTTTCAATTTCACTCAGGGTCTTCCCTGATTACAAACTTGGAATTTGATCCCCCATAATACACTACAAAGCATGAAAACACGTGGTCACAAAGTTAAGTGTAACAAAAATGTCCAACAGGTAAGTCTTTGTCATTGAAGGTGAAAGTGCTACAAAACATTTAATGCTGGCATGTCTACTAAACACAGCAAATCTGAGTTTAAAAAATTTTTGCTGTATTGGGATAGCACATGGCAGGTGGTTAAGGCATCAGGCTCTCACATGGTGCACCATGGTTTTAGTACTGAACCTGGCAGCTTGAAAATCACGCTGGGGTAGATGTGTGCATGACCCAAATCCCAAGAGGAGAATGGAGAAGGGATTATGGCATGACCATATTTGAAAAATTTCTACAGTGGGAACCATCTTAAGTCAGGAGCCAATCTTTTTGTTTTTTCTTTTTGTCAGAAGGAGTTTCTTTCATTGTCACTAAGTCTTGATATTATAGGAATTTTCCTGTCCCCACACCCATTCCTGAGTGGGCTTGAAGAGGCCATTTAAAAAAAACCTAGTTGGGTATAGTTCAGTAATTTTCCAGAAAGAATTCCTAGGCCAATTAGGTGACTTTCCAGATAAGCAGACTCTGCTTTTGTAGGTAGTGTATTTTTGTCCACCAAGAAGGAGATGTCTTATTAGACCAGGAGAACAACACAGATTACCCCTTAGGAAGGTCAGAGAAAGAAGAATGAAGCAGACATTTAGAGACAAGCTGGCTGTCTGAACTGCCCCTCATGTGGCCCATCTACATGGTGGTCTTAGAGTTTGAGGAACCATCCCCTATCTTTATAGCTCCCTTTTTTGTGTGTTACCTTAAGTGTTTCTCTGATTTGAAAAAACTCTTGAAAAAATATTTACAGGGACAGAGGTGCTTCCAGATTACCTGTTACTAGGAAATTATTCTATGAATCTACAGGTAAGAACAGGAATCAGGTCTCAGAGCCACAGTAGCATTGTTAAAATTTGACTGTCAGGCTTATGGCCTACCAGAATGCCATTTCAGATAGAAGTGTGCTTAGCTCCTAACTCCACAGCTCCCTGGGAAACTTCCCCACAGCAGGACTACCTTCTGCCTTTTATCTTCCCTCTGGGTCTCCCTGCATCTGTGCTCCTCCAACCTCACCCATCTGTTCCATATTCATACTTCCTGAGACAGACTCTTCCTCTGACAGCCTTTGGGTCAGGGAAGCTGGGTGACATGAGATCTAGGCTTAACAAACCTTTTTTTGCCACCTGTTCAGGAAGGGGCTATGGATACAACAGGCACTGAGTGTCACATGCGGCAGGACTGTGTGGCATATAATAGCCTACACTGTGAACTCACTCAGGAATGAAATGGGAGCCTAGTAACACATTACTAGAAACAGTTGTATACCATTTTGAGGTTCAGGAAGAAATATGCTTAAATAAGCCTAATAAAACTCATGTTATCTATATTATAAAAATTCATGCAAGTTCAATTCTCCAATAGATTCTACTAGAACAAGAACTTCAGAGGAAAAAATGTAAAAACAAGACAAAACAAAAAACTACCATATAAAGCCCATTGTTATGGGACCAGCAGGCGGTGTGGAGATTAAGGTGGCTGGATCCCACATGGTTGACTGTGTGATTTGAGTCCTGGACTTGGTGGCTTGAGAAACACACCAGACATATCTGTGTACATGCCCAAAATCCTGAGAGAAGAATGGTGGGAAATGACTGTTTTATGGCCATCCCCTTTTGGAGGATGATTTTTCACTTTCCCTCTCTCACTCTGTCTCTCTCCAGTAAGTGTACTTGCCCCATAGCAAATTTAAAAGAAAGAAAAAGAAAAAAGAAACACATTGTTATGGTTCAAACGATACCAGTAGATTGACACTACTGGTATGTGGGGAGCCAGAATTTTTCTTCTTCTTTTTTTTTTAGGTTTTCTATAGGTGGCATGTGCTCACTGCAGAAGAGAGATAGAGACACAGAGAGAGGAAAAGTAAGAAATTACCCTCCAGAGGGATGGTCACACTGCAAACCCTTCTTCAACATTCTCCTCCCGGGATTTTTGGCATGCACACACATGCACCCAGCATGATTTTCAAGCCACTGGGTCCAGAATTCTAAGGGTGGTTGGCCACATGGGAGTTCAGCACCTTAACCTCTACGCTACCTGGTAGCCTTGCCAAGATTTCTAAAACCGATAATCAACTGCAACGTTTAGAAGTGGTAGCTAGAGGAACTAACAAGTGGTTAAGGCACTGGACTCCCACGTTGTCCACCCTGGTCCAAATCCTGGACCTGGCTGTTTAAAACTCACGCCAGGCGTGAATGCCAACATGTCCATAATCAGAGAGTAGAATGGGGGAGATTGCGGTGTGGCCATCCCCCCTGGGGGGTGATTTCTCACTTTCTGTCGCTCTGTCTCTCTCTGTCTTTCTTGCAAGTGCACATGCCCTATAGCGAAAATCTCTCTTTCTAAAAAAAGAAGAAAGTGGTCACTAGAATAGTAAAAACAATTTTTTCTGAGAAGCTTTTCCCCACCCTCAAGTCTGGGTTATGGTATTTATGGTTACACATAATAGGTTCAATTAGTTTTAGATGAATTAATAAATGTTTAAAATAGCTGGTTTAAGTGCAGCAAATATTAGTAAGTATAATCCACACAAACAAAGGTCTTAGGGGGTCTTCAACAGTTTTTGAGAGTAAAGGTGCCCTGAAAACAAAAAGTGAGAATTACTATTCTCTAGGATTCTATACCTCTCCTATCACATCATCTGCCCACCATCCTAAAAGCCTGTCTCGGCTGCCGGGTCATCACAGTTCCTGGCCCTTAGTAGGAGCTTAATAAATACCTGACCAGATAAGACCAACTGTCCACACTCTCTGGTGGAAACTCAAAGATTAGAGGATATAGAAGCATGGAAAATGGTTATGGATATTGGAGACAGTGTGGGAAGAGGATGGGAAAGGAGGGAGAGTATGAGGAAAGAAATTAGGGAGAAAAACAGAGAAGTAAGACATTTATGGGACACAGAAGTGATTATCTGTTGATGATAACGTGTATAGTATCCTCCACTGGACTGGTGTGAAGTGTATTCATGTTGGAAATTTCACTTTACAAGCTAAGGGATATATAGTGACTGAATGTATAAGATAAATTTAAATTAAATTTTAAAAATACGGACCTCTTCATTTTCAGCAATGTGTGACTTCTGGGGCGGGGAGCTGTTCAGCAAAAGCGTGTTGTCTTTTTAAGAGGAAGGACCAAGAAACAGAGAAGGTAGCTCAGCTAAACTGCTATTTACACTGGGGTGTTCACATTTATATTTAAGTTTAGGGCTTGAGCACCTGTGAATGCTGGAGTACAAGCACAGGCAACTGCTGATCCGTCTCACCCTTCCTACACAGCCCGAATCCAGCGTGAGGAAGTTAAGAGACCGATACAGGAGGGGGTTGTAACCCCCTCCCAGCCCTCATTCTCATTCATTCATTCACTCAGTCTATCCCTCCCTCACTCCGCACTAGACAACAGACTTCGGCCAGGCACCTAGGCTACCAGCATGGACAAGACCGGCGTCCATCCCAGGGCAACCATAAAGAAATAAGCAAAAAACATGGTCCCCGCGCGTGGGCGGGGCCTCGGAGTGAAGGAGGCGCGTCGCTTTCTCACAGTGAGAAATCTGTCCGGCCTG